ACTCTTAGCACTTCATTTTAAAACGACAACAACAAAAAGAGTTCTTCTTAGCCTGAAAGACAAAAGAACATTGGCTGTAGCAAGTATCCCTGACTAGTTGTGTGATAAGGACACTGGGATAAGGCACTAGTTGTGCCCTAACCCTGACATTTGAGATGCCACAACATGTGTGTGTGAGGAAAAAGGGGAGTTGTGCGCATCCAAGAAATAATTCAAGAAATCTGCAGCAAGAGACAAACACATAGACAATGGCAGAGTATGGCAGCACGCAGGTGCCAAGTGAGCCTGTGCTCTTCCCTTCAGAAGGACATACAATTTGTAATAGATGCACATTTATGCAAACGAGAAATGAAGGATCATGTTTAGTAGTTTACACCAGTGGAGTGACACACCCCACAACTTTTGCTTCGAGAAAAACTAACGAGAGATCTGGGTTTCAAAGCGCACAGAAATCAAGTGATTTACACCATTATTCAAAAGCATGTAAGCAAAAGTCTGCCATCTTAAGAGTGCTTTTCTTAAAGCTATCGCTCAGCATTTTTGCATCACGTTTTTTACATTAACACGGTATCTCATTCATTGTGAGGGGCATGACCTCCATTTTGCCTGAGTCGTTACCTGTCAAGGAAATTCAGTGACTTGTCGCTTTTACTTTTTCGTGAAGACAGCTATAAGCTAGAAGTATTAATTGTTTTGACTCATAAGTAAGTGCAAAATGCATCTCAATTTATTATCCTGTAAATGCTTTTCTCAGCCTAAAGCATAGAATTACAAGCGAGTTAATGTTTCGTGAATTCATTCAGTTGACTATTCTACTGACACTTGGAAACAAGAACCACATTTCCAGGGCTTCTACAACAGTTAAAGAAAAGCCTCTGTACAGCATTTTATAAAAGTGTAATGGGCCTTTTAATGTTGCGAGATGCAAGACTTTCACAGAGACTTGTAGTAACAAGACAGACAGAATGCTATTATATCATCTCTGCCAAGCTGATCAGACAAAGTCCTAGGTCAGAAAGCCTGGAGAGGTAAGCACGAAACATTGATAGCTTCAAAAAAAAAGGGACGCATTTCTTGGAAGGAAATTGGGAAAATGGAGAGGAAAAAAGTAAAAAAAAAAAAAAAAAAAGCAGTTTGTAGCCTCCAGAAGACAAAAGACAAGGATGCAAAGCATTTTAAGAATGACGACGCTGATACACCTAGGAAAAGAATTTGAACAAAATCCCTCACGTTTCATTCTTTACAATTAGGCAACATTTTTGCTTTTCTTAATTCACGAAACCTAAAATCAGAAGGCATAGAAAATGAGCAATAAAAGGGACGCTTTCTATTTTTACCTTCTTAACCACCTCCACCTCCTCCTGAAGTCCCTGATGGTATCATTTAGATTTATTACCCTTGTGGGTAAAACTTGTGCATTGACAACTGACCTGATATGACTAATACTAAAGCAGTTGCTCATGAAGTTTTCTAGAATACAATCTTGATGTTTTGTGTGCAAACGCACTAAAGGATCAATACATTGTCCAGCCATGTATACTCTCTTGCATCTAATAAATGCAAACACAAAACAAAGCTCATGCTTCTATTTCAATATAACTATAGTTGTAACAGTTCTCTTCTCCAGGGGGACAATAAGGTCTTTCAGATTATACCTGCTACTTATTTTTGTGTTGTTTTGAAAGATCCTCTTCAGCAGACTAAATATTCTCACACTAGCTCACTCTTATCTTCAGCCCAGAACCTAGAATTGTCTAATTGTGCCAAACAGGGCTACCCATTTTTGTGACAACTGTTCAAAAACATCAAGATAAGTATGAGTATTTACACTAGTAAAGCCACAATACGAAGGCTTGCCTAACATTTCAATCAGCAATCAGGAGGAGGAGACAGAACACATTCTTATTCATGAGGTTTGCAAATGACAACCAACCAGGGAAGAGAGGCAGCTGAGCTCAAGAGCAGGGCTGTCACAAGGAGGGACCCAGACAGTCTGGAGGAATGGGTTAACAGCAGCATCACGAAATACAATCAGGACAAATGCCACATATCGAAGCCCTATTGAAGCAAGGCAGAGCCCTGCAGCCATGAGGCTTGGGCTGGGAAAGAGCTTGGAGGGTTAGCCCTGGGCACTGGAAGGCAGTGAGCTGAGTCAGGGTCATCTGTGTGCCTGGGCAGCAACAAGGGCCAGCAGTGCCTAGAGTCTTGTGAGCAAGTCACAGCCCTGAGAGCCAGGGGAAGGCAGAGACTGTACCCTCTGCTTGGTGCTTGTCAGATCTCACCTGGGTACGGTCGCCAGTTTGGGTCCCCAGCACAGAAACACCAGCAACAAACGGTGGGAGGTGAGGGAAGGCCACTGAGGCAGGGGAGCTGGAACCCTTGCCCTGCAAGTAGACTCTGAAGGACCAGGGCTGGTTCAATTGGAAAGAGGGGCAGCTTTGGGGGCACCCACAGCATCCCTGACACCAATGGGAGAGAATGGAGGAGACTCAGTTGGGCCCTTCACGGCGGTGCATGGCAAGAGAACAAGAGGCAGCAGCACAAGCTGAAACACGGGAAACTCAGGCTGGAGATAACAACAAGCTTCTTCCCCATGAAGACAGCCCAGCGGTGGAGCTGGGGCCAGGGAGGTTGGGCCACCTTCAGCCAGGGGAGGTGTCACACTCCAGCGGAGAAGGGTGATGAAGTCCTGAGCAGGCTGGTCTGACACCATGGCTGAGTCTCTGGTGGTCTCTGCCAGCATGAGTGATTCTGCCATTGTGTGAAACACAGCAGAATGGTTTCCACTAACAGAAAATGTTTCCACTAAACAGATTTAGTTTAAATCTAAAGCTTTGGCCCTCTTCCCCTTCCAAATGGGCAAACTTCCTTTGGGCTTTTTCTTATCAATTAATTCTAACAACATGTAAAGAACTCTTGGTAAATCCTCTGTTTCAGACTGTGTAACATACATAAGTTAACTGGCCACTGTAGGAAAAGATCAGGTCCAAGACCATCTAAGGAACTTGACGGTGCACAAGACTATGGGACCTGATGAGGTGCATCTGCAGGTCCTGAGGGAACTGGTGGATGAAGTTGCTAAGCCACTATTCATCATATTTCAGAAGTCATATTAGTCTGGTGAAGTTCCCACTGACTGGAAAAGGGGAAACATAGCCCCCATCTTTAAAAAGGGGAAAAAAGAAGACCCAGGGAACCACTACAGGCCAGTCAGTCTCACCTCTGTGCCCGGCAAGATCATGGAGCAGATCCTCCTGGTGACTATGCTAAGGCACATAGAAAATAAGGAGGTGATTGGTGACAGCCAACATGGCTTCACTGAGGACAAATCCTGCCTGACTAATTTGGTGGCCTTCTGTGATGAGGTTACAGCATTGATGGATAAAGAAAGAGCAACTGACATCGTCTACCTGGACTTATCCAAAGCATTTGACACTGTCCCACAAGACATCCTTGTCTCTAAACTGGAGAGACGCATATTTGATGGATGGACCACTCGGTGGATAAGGAATTGGCCGGATGGTCGCACTCAAAGAGTTGTGGTCAACAGCTCAATGTCCAAGTGGAGGCCAGTGACAAGTGGTGTTCCTCAGGGGTCAGTACTGGGGCCAGTGCTATTTAACATCTTTGTTGGCGACATGGACAGTGGGATCGAGTGCACCCTCAGCAAGTTTGCAGATGACACCAATCTGCCTGGTGTTGTGGACATGCTGGAGGGAAGGGGTACCATCCAGAGGGTCCTTGACAGGCTGGAGAGGTGGGCTGTACGAACCTCATGAAGTTCAACAAGGCCAAGTGCAAGGTCCTGCACGTGGGTCGGGGCAATCCCAAGCACGAGTACAGGCTGGGCAGAGAATGGATTGAGAGCAGCCCTGAGGAAAAGGACTTGGGAGTGTTGGTGGATGAGAAGCTCAACATGAGCCGGCAATGTGCACTGGCAGCCCAGAAAGCCAACCGTGTCCTGGGCTGCATCCAAAGAAGTGTGGCCAGCAGGTCAAGGGAGGGGATTCTGTCCCTCTACTCTGCTCTCGTGAGACCCCACCTGGTATACTGCGTTCAGCTCTGGAGCCTCCAACACAAGGACAGGGACCTGCTGGAGCAGGTCCAGAGGAGGGCCACAAAGATGATCCACCTCTGCTATGAAGACAGGCTGAGAGAGTTGGGACTGTTCAGCCTGGAGAAGAGAAGGCTCCAGGGCGACCTTATTGCAGCCTTCCAGTATCTGAAGGGGGCCTACAGGAAAGCTGGAGAGGGACTTTTTCCAAGGGCATGTAGTGATAGGACAAGGGGCAATGGCTTTAAACTGAAAGAGGGGAGATTTAGATTAGATCTAAGGAAGAAATTTTTTACATTGAGGGTGGTGAGGCACTGGAACAGGTTGCCCAGAGAAGTTATAGAAGCCCCATCCCTGGAAGTGTTCAAGGCCAGGTTGGATGAGGCTTTCAGCAACCTGGTGTAGTGGAGGGTTTCCCTGCCCATGGCCGGGGGATTGGAACTAAATGATCTTTGAGGTCCCTTCCAACCCAAACCATTCTATGATTCTATGAATTTAAGTAGGTTTATTTACACTTACAGTTTCTAACCTATTCTACCTTTAACTACTGAACTTATTCTGCTTAATATAGAAAGATTTGTTTTTAAATGAGAGGCACTTTGTATTCTTACTACTTCCTCCCACCACAGTAGCCCTCCTGCATTTCATCTCTGGAAAGTCAAGCAAGCAATGCTTCATGCATAAGGTCCAAGTTCTGCTTTTGCAGAAGTAAACATGAATTGCTTGGCTGTGAAGATATCTAGTTGTGTAGTTATGAAAGGCATATGCTCATTTGCTCAACCATTCCACTTTAAGACATCAAGCACTGAGCTCTTACACAAAGTTCATCACAAACCCACTTCACTTTGTTTCACTGTCAGGTCAATCTTTATCATACTAATCATGCACCAGCAATAAGCAGCAACATCTTTATTATGATGGCTTTTGTCATGGGTGCAGGACTCACCCCTCCTGCCTTTAGCAGCTTTCTTCTGAATTCCTCTGTCGGGTTGTTGAATGTGAGCTTTTCACAGCGGAGGTGATTTACAGGTGGGTGGCCTTCAAGGTGCAGGAATAAGTCATAGTCAAATCGAACTTTCTTAGGTTCTTCCTGAGGGTTGAAAACAACCAGACAGAAACATCTAGCACCAAAACTAACTAAGTTGAAAACAAGGGCTACATTAAAATGAAAATTACATAACTTTTAACCATTCTCTGTGTTCTTGGACACATGATGGAATTTACGAAGCATCGGCTGAGCTACAGTAAATCAGAGAAACTCCTATCAATCAGCACATAACACATGAACTTCACAAACTTCAAGCTGTTGTGGTAAGACTTAATTGAAAGTGTTATGTCATGTCCGGCACAGGAAACAGATATACGCGTAGTCAACTATTCAGCTAACACAAGGTAACCCAGTCACCAACACAATCACACTTCTGAGCCCTAGATACTACTGAAGACACTGCAGTAAGTTTTGAACGCAAATTCCTCCACTGAAGCCAAACACTATTGTTTTCTTCATGAGTTGTGGAAAGGGGTAAAAAATGAAACTGCTGCAGTCAACTATCTTTGATCTCCTACGTATGGGGTCTGCTTGCTTATTAACGAAGCTTCGCTGCCTTGAATGAGTGTGGCCAGCTAGCTTCCAAGTGTTCCATCACAGCTTCCAAGTCACTGCAGTGAAAAACATGAAGCTGAATGTTCCCTGTACCAATACGGAGAGAGAAAGAGCAGGAGAGGCAAATTTATCTTTGAAGAAATCATCAGTGCTCTTCTGTCCTGAGAAAGCCTTGGCTGAAAAAGGACACTAGTGGCATTGAATAGACTTCAGTTTGTACTACGAGAGAAAAGATACTGAGGATGTTTTGTGTTATACGTTTACATGGTCCCTTCTAGAAGCTGTATATAGGTTAAGTGCTCTTTTAAGGCAATACTGAGTAGGTCTTCCTCCAAAGGTCCTGATGTGCAACAGAAGCCATGAAATCAATGTCAGTCTTCAGGCAGAACACAAGCAAAAGGTCAAACTCAAGAAAAGCGTCAGTTAAAAGGGAATCATGAGGGAAGGGGAGAAAAATACAGCAAAATCTTAGCACATATCCAACACTGCATGCAATCGAAACGCGTGCTCTGTTCAGTGACAAATGTTTAAAAAAATTCACATAAAAAAATGTTTAGTTTTGATTCCGGATTCCAAGGATGTGAAGAACAGAAAGCATAGAAATCTGTCATTCTAAAAGTTAAATCAGAGATTGCGAACACAGTCAGGGGACATCCTCATCGTCCCATCTCTAGACTTGGAGCAGAGACAGAAGGAGATCTGAAATAAAAGGCCTGCAGTAGTCTGTTTCTGAGGACGGAATAGTGTAGTTCTCCTAGATGCACTATTTTCTTGACGGATCATTTTCAAAGGCAACCATGGATGAAGATACGTCTTATTGTTAGAAAGATTAACACATGACTTCTTGCAGAAAAAAAAAGGAAGTGATTTACTCCCCAGTCTGCTTAGAAACTGTGATGTTGCTACCAGCAAACAGTTGGTAGCAGCAGCTTTGCCATAAAAGCAAAGTTAGAAGAATTTATTAAAGAGAGTCTGCAAAGAATTCTATGGAAAGTTAGATGACCATTACCAGCGATTTCAAAGCAGACTTCTACTATACAAAAGACTCCCAGTACCATTGACATTATTCAAAACGGTGTGACGGTGAAGGCAGAATATACTGCAGTTCATGAGCCTTATCCTAACTGGATTGCATTTTCTGGAGTAGGCGTCTTTTGACCTAAAAGCATTTTTTTCAAGGACTTTGTCTCAATGGCTAACAACTGTAGCCTGCTGCTGCTGAATTTGGGAGGGGTGTTTGTCATTTCCCTAATTCTATAAAGCTTGGAATATTTTCCATCAGGGTGAAATGCCTATTAGATTTTCTACCAACTTCTGCTTACGTCCTGGCAACAGGCACCCTTTAAATTCTCCATGGTCCAGGCGGCTTCCTGTATTCCTGCCTTCTCTCTTCATTAGGGTACTTTCTGAACCATAAATTGAAAAGTTGTCTACCTTGAATAAGTGATGATGGTCTGTCTCGTCTTCCCCCTTCTGTCTATCTCCTCTTTTTCTGTACTGGAATACCTGTGAAGTGGCTTAGAGGAGGAAGAGTAGGGGAGGAAGAGTAGGTGAGCCAGGAGAAAGCAGAAATTTGCCTCCGGAATGCCAGCTCAATTTTTGTGCCACTTTTCCTTTGTATTGCACTGACTCCAGGGAAGGGCATGCTGCTGCAGCTGTGTGAAGAGCTAGCTGCCTTGCAGTCCAACTGCTGCTTGTCATATTCCATGACACCAAAACAGGGGTGAGGACTGTTTGCAAACTTCCTAATTCCACATGCTGCTTGAGAGGGAGGCAGGCTGTAACCACTGCTGCCCTCTTGATCTCAGTCTAAGCCACAACTCCTGCTGCAGAACTCCTGAGACTTGCAGGTCTCCACAGTCAGCAAAGGCAGCCAAAAGTCTGAGTGGAAAACAAAAAATGAAATGTCAGGCAGGAAGCTTTCTGTAGAAATGCTTCAGTGATCGACTCACTGTCTTCTGGCTTGGTCTGCCCAGTTTTGGGATGAGCTCTTAACAGAAGAGTTAAAGAGAACAGGCTGCTTTTCATTAGATTTCCTGAATTAATCAAAACTGCTTCCCTAATGGAGACAGAGCTAAAAAGCACACCAAAAAAGCCAGTCAACTCACTGAGGCAGTTCTGTTTCCTTTTCCAACAGGAAAATGGGCAGGTTGAGCCCTGCTCTTCACAGATTGATACAGGGAACATTTCAGAATTAACTGTTCAAACCTACAATTTAGAAAGTGCCTGAGCAGAATTATCCATACCTCACACCTTGACAGAGCTTTCTGTGAAAGACAAAATACTGAAATGTCTACCTGAAGGCATACACAGCTAACAAAGTCGTACTCTAACACACATTTTAAGTGAGCAGGGTTCCAGCAAAGTCTTTTACTATGCAGTTCTATTTTCTTTCAGTTTTAGTTTTTCACCAAGCGTTCAACACATTAAAGACATCACACTGACTTGATTAAAATAATTACATTAAACTACATCTTGGCAATGTAAAATAAACACACAGGTATCTTAGAAGTGCATGTGAAGTACAATGATAGCTCCACTGAGGCACACGACATACAAAAGCAACCTAAAATATTGCAGTTATTAAGGTACTGCACATGAAACCATGCAAGCTTTTTGCTCTTTAATTCCACTCAAATCAAATTGTTTTTATCTGAATGAGTTACTAGTAATACAGACGCTGTTACATACATTAAAGGCAATTTATGTGTTTGTTAAGAGACCCACAGTAAGTGGAGCATTTACTTAGGCTCAGAATTGAGATACCACAATCATGCAAACTTTGTAGAATGGCACTGGGATTCTTGTTAAACTGTGCCCCCTGGTAATGTTGCGTTGAGTAAAATCAAACTCACATGCAGTCTAAAAGAATGCTTTTTAGGACTGAGGATGCAGAATTAAAAAAAAACACACAACAAAAAAAGACTGTTCAGAAAGATCAAAACCTGAACAAATTAAAAAGATCAGCAACACTAAAATAAAACAATGAGTTCATTATGAAATCCACATAATCAAGACTTTTCCTTTCTAAAAGTTTAAGTGGCTCCCAAACTTCCTTAAGCATTATTTATAGTCTGTCCAGATCTGAGTAGGGCTAGTAATTCTTCTGAATAATTATTCAAATTCTTTATTTTATCAGGTAATTCTAATTTCATAGAGTTATCTACTAAATACAGTCCCACGTTACTAAAAGTAACACTGACTTCGAATTGGAACAGCATTGACAAAGATAGCTTTAAATCTAATTTTTAATTGAGTTTATTAATTAAACTGTAAATCTTTGACGAACTCTGATTTCCACATATTAAAATTAAAAAAAAAAATGAAAAGCATGTAATTCTATACCTTGTTTTTGAAGTAAACCTCAATTGGTAAAATGAAACCAGCATACCCAGATTCTTCAACTTTGTAGGGTGGATCCTTGCACACTGAAATGAAGAAGAGAAACTTATATTTAATACAAAAAAAATGTTTTTAATGCCTAAGTGAAATACATGAGAAAATAATCTGCAGCAATGTTCTACGGCAGAACCATTACAAAACTGCAAACACACACAGTAGGACGTATCTATGCCCAACTGAACATGAATTTTGTAAGCAAATCATTCCTGCCTGTATACAACCTACAGTGTAGAGATAGCAAATTTATTTTTATTTTTTGTTTTTTTAATCCTTTCAGACTGCTAAAGCAGAACTACCAGAAACTTCAACACCAGGTGGACCCACTGAGTTACCACAATGGCTACATCGGCGCTGCAACCAAGACTTGCCCTGGGAATGGAAAATATATAGGATTCCACCACAAGAAAGTTAAACATGTACAGGGCAGAAGAACTGCCATTCACATTTTCATAACCTAATACTAATAACACCCTAATTCTAATACATGTAATATAAAATAGAGACATGAATTGAATTGAACTAATACTAATGAAATGGAAACCTGCATTACTAGGGGGAGAGGAGACACAACACAATATTCCAGTATATAGTGGAGAATCTCAGGAAGGTGCTCATTTCAGCAATATTTCAGTTTATTTTCAGAAATATTATTTATATTTCAGTTTATATTTTCAGTTTAATACAAAGGCTTTTAGTTACATGAAATCCCCATGATATTGAACATGAGCTCTCTGAAGAAAGCAGGACTAGCCTGCCAACTTCAGCCAGTGACAAAAAGCAGGTTGTCAGAGAACTTGTAACAGAAGCCACCTCTTCCATCTTGTGTTTGGCTCATTACAAAATTCACACACACGTAACACATAAGCACAAAGGTGGACTGAGCTTGAGAAACCATGCATCTCCTGTAACATCAACTCAGACGCTTCCAAATGCTGCACTGTATGACAACTTGTCATAGGCACTGCCATCTCAATGGCATCACAGGACAATGACCGTTTCCCTACTGCAACTGGTAGAACAATGCAATTAAT